CTGCTTCGCCCAGCAGCCTACTTGCAATACTTTAGCAGAGGAGCAGTAAATGTAAGCATCCCACCCCCACCTTTAAAAGAAACATGCAGTTAAAAATGCATCATTATTTACCAGTCCAAGGAGATGAACCACAGACACCTACAAGGGACAAAAGGAAGGGTGCAAGCAGACAGCAAGAAAAGACTAGGGAGAGACTAAGTCATATGATTCACTTTCAAACACCCCATTTTGAAACCTGGGTAAATTTGGGGTGACAATAGGGATGCCAGCCTCCAGGTGGGACCTGGGGATCCCCCGGAATTACAGCTCATCTTGTCTACAGGGATCAGTTCCCTGGAGAAAATGGATGCTTTGGAGGCTGGGCTCTGTACTATTGCACTCCACTGAGGTCCCTCCCTGTCCTCCTTAGGCCCCACCCCCAAATCTCCCAGTTTCCCAACCTGAACCTGGCAACCCTAACCTCCTCCCATCCCCCACTGGTGGCCAGAGGGGACCTGGCCACCCTAGGTGACAACTGGGTGAAATAAGAACCTTGATATGTGGACAGGCCCAGAACACTTCAGTTCATCCAGTGCAGGTTTTTTAAAAGCTTGCTACATTAATGTACCCAGCAAGTTGAATTTCTAGGACCCCAGAACTCAGGACAGAAAAACTGCAACCAAAACAAAATCTTGCAAAGTGTGTTCACCATTCACATATTTGCAGCAAGTTTACACGAGCCTGGAGAAATTATTTTGCCACTCGGTACTGCTCTCTTCTGCACACAATCTTCAAGGCTGTATGTCCTTCCTGCACTAGAAATGCAGTCAACACACACTGGGATAACTTGCCTTACCAGAGTGCAATGTCAGCTCCGTAGCGTCCCTCTTTGCTGGTACTGCAGCAGCCCAATTAAAATTGCTGCTGCAATACCAGCAAAGAGGGACGCCGTGAAACCGACACTGTCCTTTGGTAATGCAGGTGTAGCTGCCTGCCCAAGCCCATGCCCCAGCCACAGCTCCCAGGCCCTTACGCAGGGGGGGAAAGCCACACAACAGACTATCCTTCGCAACAGCCAAGGAGCACTGACAAAGAACAGTCGACATGCCCAGGCCTAGGGACCTGCTGGCTGGCTGGGCCTGGTGTGTGGCTCCAGGTGACAAGCTCCTAAGCTAGGAGTTGTACCATCTGCCACACCTGGGGTGAACCTGACCAGAGGAGGCCTGAGAGAGACAAAGCCTGGAGGACAAAGCTCCGGGAGCAGTGGAGGGTTCTACGGGGCTAGGAGAATTCAGCATGAGAGGAGCAAGAAAGACAGGTGGAGAAAGCAACAGGTATAAAAGAGAGCAGAAAAGAACACAGTGGAGAGCTTGGAGGCACTAGCCCTTGAAGAAGAAGAAGAGATTGGATTTATACCCCGCCCTTCACTTGGAGTCTCAGAGCGGCTTACAAACTCCTCTCCCTTCCCCTCCCCACAACAGACACCCTGTGAGGTGGGTGGGGCTGAGAGAACTCTGACACAAACTGCTCTTTTTCAAGGACAGCTGTGCCAGAGCTTGTGACTGACCCAAGGTCACATCAGCAGGTGCAAGTGGAGGAGTGGGGAATCAAACCCGGTTCTCCCAGATTAGAGTCCACGCACTTAACCACTACACCAAACTTGGAGGAGTAGGTGGGTATGGAGTGAGGCAGAAAAAGAAAGAACAGCTGGCTGGAAGGGAGGAGAAAGAAAAGTCCAGCCCAGGGGTGGGGGGACAGTGCTGAGAGAAAGCAGAGCCAGTTGTTCGGTAAAAATTTTAAGCATGGTGTCGTGGTTAAGTGCTGAACTAGGATCGGGAAGACCTGGGTTTCACTCCTTGCTGTGCCCATGGCAGCTTGCTGGGTGCCCTTGGGACAGCCACACACACTCGGCCTCAGCTGCCTCACAGAGCTGCTATCAGGATCAAATGAAGGGGGAAATGCTGCAAGCCACTTTGGATCCCCACTGGGGGAAAGGGTGGGATATAAAGTAAATAAAAATAATTAAATTGTTGCTTTAAAAAATTAACTTACATCTCTCCCTTCTTATGATATATAAGACAGGATGAAAGATTATCCATTTGAGCTGCTTGTCTTGAACCCGCCAACCTCTGCCTAGACTCAGCCCTCCAGTTGCTATGGCACAGAATGAACAGCACTGCCACCTTCGTTCCTGGAGGAAATACTGCACCCTTATTATACTTCTAATTTAAACTGTGCCTATAGGTCTATCCGCTCCTTTGTGGGACAGACAAAGCATATGCGGTAAAGGTACTGTACATGCACATCAGCGATAACTATCTGAGTTTAAAAACTTCAAGAACTGCCCTCCTTAACAAAAAAGTCCACTTATTGTTTTTATTCCAGATCCCTAGCTGTTAACCCCAGCTCTAGAACAGCAGGTAAAGAAATTAAATATGCTGTAGATGAAAGAGTACTGGCAAATCATCACAGTCCATTAAATCACTGTGAACCATGGCCTGGATCTTAAGGTGCTGTTTCACTGGCGCAAATCCAGCTTCTCCAACTGAACTGCATTTGCAGAAAGAAGGCAAGGTGATTGCCCACTTCCCCTTCCTGCTGCAGAATCACACTAGGCATGCCCCCCACACCTCTCTTGACCACATGAACACACGGGGGGGGGGGGGAGTGAGCTGCCTTACTCATGCATGGCTTTGTTTGGGATCCAAGCCAATACATACAATCAACCACTTTAGCAGCAGTATCCTGAGTTGTAGAAGAGAGCACAAAAAAGTGATGCACAGCACATCCCAAGGCTTTACAAAATAAAATATATGGGCAAAGACAAGAATTAATAGAGGACTAATATAGGTGGGATAGGTAAGTAGCTGGGGGGGAGGGAAGATACCGGCACTGTGGAATAAAGATGAAACAGAACCAACTGTGCTGAAGTGATTGTTGAAATGAAGGGGGTTGACAGACAGAACCAAAGCCAGGTTGATACTGTGGGCAGAACACTGGACCAAGACACCTGGATTCAAATTTTCACTTACTTCAACATTTACATCCAGTTGTAGAGCCCCAAGATGACCTTTAAACAGCTCACATCAATCGATACAAAGTCAACATTAAATGTGTAAAGCAATACCATTATCTGGTACTACAGATGTAAAATTATTCCAGAAGAACCTGTCTAAGAAGCCATGTCTCAGCAATGTTTTTGGAAAATCATTAAACAGGAGGTCAAGTCGGCTTCTTTGGGCAGCCACTGACAAGGCCCCAATCCCTGTTCACTCATTAAGTTCACGTGGGTGGGGGCAATCACTCTCAGTCTACCCACCCCACTGAGGATAAAATGGGGGATTTTTCACATAAAACTGCCCTGAATCTTTGAAACGGGGAGATACAAATCTAAGGAAAGATGGGGGAGGAAAAGGATACAAAAAGGGGAAATACCATGCAAACTTGTGAGACAGCATAAAGACCTATTCTGTAGATATAGTGGAGGCCAGAAGCTTGGAGATACCAGGGCAAAAGGAAAACAGCAACATAAGGAGGAGAAAAAGAAGGCATGAGTGAGCTATGCTCAACATGAAAGGATACAACTATCCCAAGCACTGCATTAGTGGTGCTAGAGAGAGAACGTCTGGGTTTACCTGCCTTAGGTGAGGAAAATATTAACTTGATGAATCAGACAGCTGAGATTACAACTCAAGCAGAAAGAAAAGATTCTGATTGAAATGCAGCACAGAAATGAAGTCTCTGTGTTCCAGAAAAGGAACCTGGGGAATAGTGAAGTTGGCAAATCTTGTAGCAATGCCAGACTGCGAACCAGAGATGGCATTTGCAACGTGATACAGGGCTGGATGATGGGGAAAGCCAGCTACATGGGAGGGAGACCACGTAACGCAAAGGCATCATGTTACAGAACACAGAGGGTAGCCCCTTTTCACTGCAGCACTGGGTAGGAAGGCCACACCTAGAAGACTCTCTGTTTGTTTCTGGGCACATTTTTAAGTGGACAACATAGAAATGAGACAAAAGCCAACAGATGAAATTCAGATGAGTTAGGAGGAACAAAGTTTTAGGTTACGCAAAGAGGACACAGAGTGCCAGAGTTCAGTACCCACAATCCTCCTTCCCAATCAGTACAATACAGAAGATAAGTATCTTTTACAGTTATGAATTTTTCCAGTGCCCCAAACCTTCAACAGCCCCAGCCAGAGGTCTAATATCTAATTCCCATTTCAACAGACAGGCAGGTCTTCACAGAAAGTCTTTCCTCCCCTGGCTACATGGCAAGGATGTGTAAGCAACAGCTCCAAAGCCATTGGCAGCCAGCAACTTCCACAAGCTTACTCCTTTGACAAACAATCCTCAATCGCCCAAAACCATCTTCTACATCACAGAAGCCCTGCCTGTGGGGAAAGGAGTGGGATATAAGTTGAATAAATAACCTCAGAATATTTTATACCAAAAATGGACAATTGCTGTCTCCTAGAAGCACTCTGTTCTCCAGTGTTCTAGAACGCAGAAGCTTACAAAGTCACACAAACTGACTGCCTCAAAACTGGCCAGGCTCCATCATAAGGTACCTGCAATCTAGCAAAAACAGCTTCTCCGTAATGGGATTTATGTACTTTGGTACTTGCATCCATGTGTGTAATTTATATACATCATTCAAAAGATTCAGTATTGTAGTAAAGTGCCTTTCCCCTTAAAAATCAAGTTGTGGGCAAGCCCCATCATATTACCTTCATAAGGTAAAACTGGAGGCCCCCACAGAGATCAGAAAAAAATGCTCCAGGAGCCAGGCGTTGTGGTCCATTCCCGCTCCAGGATGACTGCTCAGTTGGCAAGAACTATTGGGAAGAGGTGCTTTGCCTCCCCCAGGTCTAGTGGGGCCCTCAAGACACTCCGCCCCCTTACGACTCACAGGGGAATGCAAACTTGAAGGAAGAATGAATTCGCCATTCCTAGCCCACTAGCCTGTGATGACGCAGAAGTCAGAAAACACACATTCACGGCAAAGAGAAACTCACCCAAATAAATATCTCCAAAGGAACCGCTACCAATTTTTCGTCCCAGTCGATATTTGTTCCCTACTCGAAGCTCCATGGTTCAGTTGCTCTGGGGGGGATGAAACAGAGGACACACACAGTAAAGTTAGAAGTTGTTAACTCGGCTACCAAATGAGGATGGCAAGATTTATCCAGAGACTCTCCTTCCAATTAAAAGCTTTTGAGACCCAGATAGAGTGAGTGTCCTTAGACCTCTAACTGCCCCTGGGTTTCATCTTCTGTCCTACAGCCCATAAAGATAACCAAATCTTTTGGTTCAGCATACTGTACTCTGGTTCCCCCCCCCCCAATTGTATAGTTAGAGACAAAATGGGGAGAAGTGACCAAGTAAAGCAAAATGATCAAACAAGCACTAACATATAAACCATAAATCCAAATAGATTCAGGGGGATTCACCATGTTGGTCTGAAGCAGCAGAACAAAGTTTTAGTCCAGTGGCACCTTTAAGACCAACAATGTTTTATTTAAAGTATAACCTTTCATGTGCATGTGCACATATCTGAAGAAGTGAGCATGCACACAAAAGCTTATACCTTGAATAAAACTCTGTTAGTCTTAAAGGTGCCACTGGACTCAAACTTTGTTCTCATAAATCCAAAGTCACACCTAGCACAAGATACTTACGCGTACTTACCCAGAAGCCAATCACACTGAAATCAGTAAGAGTTTACAACTAAACAAGCTTAATAACAGGATGCTGGAAACTCAAAAACCAAATCAGAGAACCTTGTGGTGGGAGGAATTAATCCATCCCAGAAGCTGCCCAAGAAATCTACAGCTGGTGTGTTTTTTCAATCAATTGCAGTAAGAGACTCCTCCGCAACCATTCCCACAGTTCACAAAAGGCCAAAAGAGAAACATGAGGAGAACTAAGAGTCACAGAGATAGATCTGAACAAAAACAAACATACAATTTCTAACACTGCTGATCTATTACTTGTTGTGCTACTTAGTACAATATCGAGTATCTCCAATCACATTTTCACATTGTTCACTGTTATTTCTCAGGATCTAACAGTGCAGACCTTAACAGAGTTACACCCTGCTAAGTCCATTGACTTCAATGGACTTAGAAGGGTGTAATTCTGCTGAAGTCTGCACTGAAGGCTTGCTATTAGGCATACCACATCCCCACACACACACATACAATGTGCACTCATTCCTACGAGAGATCCAGCCAAACTTGAGCCTTACCACCTTTGAGGTGTGCAAAGGATGAGTAATTTGGTTGTATACACCTTCATCAATCAGAGTTCTGGAGGTTTCCCAACAATATCCCCTAGGTGGCCATCACCTTAAGCTTTCCCTTCCCTATTCAAATAATGTGAGCCTATCTGAAGGAGGGGAGGATCCTTTTAGAGGACTCTGATATATGGTAATGTATGTAAAGCACTTTTATTAAAGCACTGTATGTAGGCTCTGCTCCCAACAGGGTGGGCTGTTTGGAAGAATGGATGAAGACTGAGTAGACAAGAGGATGCTTTTGCTTAAGAAGGCACATTGCGGGAGAAGCAAGAATGCCACAACGAGCCCAATAAAGTGCAGTTCTGGTCTTACCCCCAACCCCGTATTTGCCACTAATCACCAGACTGCAGCAAGAGGAGCAGATGACTGTCACACACCGAGATGTTCCGTGAACGCTTCGAGAGAATTATCAAAAGCCTGACAACACACAGCTCTACACATCCAACACACACAGAAAGAGGTCATGTTTACTTAAAGCTTACAAACTTGCAAGAGACCACAAAACCACCCACCCTCAAGTAGATCATACAATGGACATACCAGCCTAGAAACCAAACCCGGAACAAAACAGTACATCTGACCAAGAGGACAAGACCATAAATCAGAGGGTAGAATTGCTCATGTGTCTTTGGCCGGACCCAGCATCTAAAACCAACCTTACATATTCCTTCATGCTATATAATTAGTGATACAAAAGCTGGCTATAGGTGGAATTTTTCAGAAGTTACTCTACAGATACTAGGTCCCTAAAGGTTAGGAGTGGCCTCCATTTCTCTGCCAGCTCTGCTCAACAGCTTGACCAAACATCAAGAAAAGGGCCTGAACTGCTAATAACCCATCCAATGAAAGAGCTGCAGGCTCAGCCCCCAGGGGCCCAGCTGTTCATGGAGGGGGAGGTTTCCCTCCAGCTAGTAAGTGACCTTTTGGTTCCTGCACAACTACCATGGATTGGTTCTGGGGGGTATCCTGGATAGCTTTGCCACAACCCCTCCAGCTGAGTGACCAAAAAAATGTCTTTGAAAATTGCAGATGTTGCTCAGAGTCTAAAGTCAGTGAGAGGGCAGCAAAAGATCAGAGGGGGGTAGTAATAGGAGACCAGTAAACACACGCACACACTCCTGCTTTAAACATATATGTGCAAGTGAAGCACGGTCCTAAAAACTACATTGGTCAACAGGACATACCGCCTAGTAAGCGTGGACAGGATGGAGCATTAGTGAATAACACAAGCAAAGCCCTGGGCATATAGATGGGTTCACAGAAGGCGGCAGTAAGACCAGCTCATGGCAAAGGCAAAGAGAAAGCAGACAGTCTTCCTCAGGAACGGCTTCCAAATCAGAGGGGGAAAATAGCTTTCTCCCCACATCCAAACACTCTCCAGCCTCGGGCCTTTGCCTCTACCTCCCAAGGACAGAAAGAAGGGAAAACAGATTCTAAGCCTATTCCCCAAGCCAAGGAATCAGCCCCAGGGAGTCAAGAGGACCACCAAAATCTCTTGTTTTCCAGAAAGGAGTTCCACACATCGAGCAAATGCAGACACTCTGCGTGAGTGGATGCTTATAATATATTAATATGTCCTTTACTCACAACACTAGAAAGCTATAATCCAACCAACTCCATATGCAAGCACCCCCCCGACCTACTATACATTATATAAATATGTACAATCCCATGATATAAACATATACACAAACAGTAGCCTTTCACACACACACACCAGCATTTCAATACAGACTGGACAGGCCAGGCAAGTAACCAAGCCAGCCCTCCCACCAAACAATTAGTGTAAATAAGAGGACTCTGCTAGTCTTGCTTGAGCTGCTAGGAACCAAGAGTGTATGTAGTACCTAGGGCGATGGTAGGCCAGATTGTATGAGAGATGACCAGCTATATATAATGGAAGCTGCTGGGTTGCAGGAATGGGGGTGGGGGGAGAAGAAAAGAGAAGCATTTAATTCTAGCTTCAGTGTTTGGTGGGAAGGGGGGGGGAGATATGGGTTTTTAAAAAATATTTTAAAAGCAGCGTGCAAGATCAGATTTGTTCCCCCTGTTTTGAACGGTTACCCCAAAAGAACAGAAGAGGAGGACCTAAAGGCAAATGCAGTCAACTAAGAGAAAGAGATCAAAATTGATAAGGTCATTTTTATCACTCCGCCACGAGCATCACTTAAAATTACACCACCCTCAGCCAAAAAACTGTAAATGGCTTTGGGGAAAAAAATAATATTCTATTGCAGGAGGAAGGCAGGGATCCATTAGACATGGCACGAAACTTCTATTTCCTATGCTAGTCTCCTCACAAAGCTCCGAGCTCAGGCAAGAAAGCAACACCTCAGAACGGATGATAAAATTAAACAGCCCCCCCCCACAACAGTACCCCAACCTTTCCCCCGTGCACAAAAGGAGACGAGATTGACAATAACACCCCCTCCCTCCCTCCCCTAGCGCACACCCTGTTTGTTAGAGGTTACACTCTCACAAATACACATCCAAGGATAACTATTACGCGCGCCCCCCCCATTAAACAGTTTCGGGGGTGAAGAGAAGAAGGGTAGGGGGATGCATCCCTTACCCACAGCTGATTGTTTAAAAATTACACAGAGAAGCTAGGTAAGGGAAAGCGGAAGGGGGGGGAGGCGAGTGGACCCCCCCAAAAAACAGGGACCTTATAGAGATTTAAAAAACCCCATAGGAAAAAGATCCTTGAAGCCATTTCAACACTTAAGACGGCGAAGCTGCCAGAGGCAAGAGAGGAACGTATGCGGGAGGGGGGCTCCCCTAAACTGCCCTCCTGAAATTTTGGCGGGGAGGGCTGCTGCGGGATCCTTTGTCTTCCCCCTTTTTTAAAAAAAAACAACACAAAATCTTTTGTCCTCCCCCCCCCCTTCGGTCCGTCTCAGCCGCCTGTCACCTAATTCTTCCCTGTGTGTGAGCGAGGGAGCCCCTTCCCCTCCCCCAGCCTTATCTTCCTCTCTCAGCAAAAAAACAAAGGGACGGAGGGGCCGCCTTTCCCCCCGGATTTGCACCCCAAGACCAGCCCAGATCCCCCCAATACTTACCCTGTCTGGAAGGAGCCTCTCTCCCGCTTCTGCTCCTGGGGCTGTCAGGGGGGAAAGAAGCCGGCGAGGGAAGGATGAAGGAGGATTGGAAAAGGGTTGCTGCGGCCGTCCCCAGTCCAAGCGCTCCGCTTCCTCCTTCTCTGCTCAACTGCCTCCCTCCTTCCTCTTCAGCCTCGCAGTGTGCGTGTATGTATGTGCGTGTGTGTGTGTACAGCCCAGGCTCTCGCTCATTGAGTTTCCATTGAGTGTCAGGGCCAAACCCACTGATGTCATCCTACAAAGCTCTGGGCCCTCCCTCTGAGGTTTAAAGGGACAGGGCTTTGTTATTTTCACTCTCCTCCTCCGATTTCTTCATGTTCACACACACTGGCCAAGTGGATTCACAGTACTGTAAACACAAATGCTTTCCAACTCTACATATACATTGCAGCAATGCGCAACAAACACATGCAGAATCCAGAACGGTCAGGAAATGGGTTTGTAAGAAGATGGGTCAGACACATAGGTAATGTTCCCATTGTTCAGGTAAAGGCAGTGAAAGCTGTGATCCTATGCACGCTTACCCAGGAGTAAGTGCTGCTGAACTCAGTGCTACCGATTGTTCAGAAAGCATGCACACAGGCTGAAGTTGCCCTGCTCAAAACATTTAAATAAATCCCAAATACATGACCTGATGTTTTTGTCGTTGATGATGTATTGTTTTTACTATATTTTTGTAGATTAAATAAAAAGTAGATATTAAACACTTCCAGATTAGAAGAGTAATGTTTTACTGGACAAGTACACATGGGGTAGAGTTGCAGAGGTTCATATTACTTAGCACTAGCCCTATATGTAGTGCCATCCTAAGCATGTGCACTAATTTACTAATGGTGTCAAGCCACATTTTTCTTATGCACAAATCCTACTGAACACAACAAGGATTTACTGCCAAGTAATCATACGTTGTATAAGGGTCAAGAAGCAACAGTTAGAACCGGATATGGAACAACTGATTGGTTCAGCATAGGAAAAGGAGTACGACAAGGATGTATATTGTCACCTTGCTTATTTAATATATATGCAGAGTACATCATGCGAAATGCTGGCCTGGATGAATCACAAGCGGGAATTAAGATTGCTGGGGAAAAGATCAACAGCCTCAGATATGCAGACGATACCACTCTAATGGCAGAAAGTGAAGAGGACCTAAAGACCCTCTTGCTTAGGGTAAAAGAGGAGAGCGCAAAAGTGGGCTTGAAGCTCAACATCAAAAAAACTAAGATCATGGCATCCGGCCCCATCACTCCTTGGCAAATAGAAGGGGAAGTCGTGGAAGTGGTGACAGACTTCACGTTCCTGGGATCCCAGATCACCGCAGACTGTGACAGCAGCCATGAAATTAAGACGCCTGCTCCTTGGGAGGAAAGCGATGGCGAACCTAAACAGCATGATAAAAAGTAGAGACATCACCCTGCCAACAAAAGTCCGCATGGTCAAAGCAATGGTATTCCCAATAGTCATGTAAGGCTGCGAGAGTTGGACTATAAGGACGGCCGAGCGCCGACGAATAGATTCTTTTGAACTATGGTGCTGGAGAAGACTCTTGAGAGTCCCTTGGACTGCAAGAAGATCAAATCAGTCAATCCTAAAAGAAACCAACCCTGACTGTTCCCTGGAAGGCCAGATAATGAAACTGAAGCTCAAATACTTTGGCCACCAAATGAGAAGGGAGCTCTCACTGGAGAAGACCCTGATGCTGAGAAAGATTGAAGGTCAAAGAAGACGGGGACGGCAAAGGATGAGATGGTTAGACAGTGTCATAGATGCAACGAACATGAAATTGAGCAAACTTCAGAGGACGGCAGAAGACAGGAAGGCCTGGCGTGATCTGGTCCATGGAGTCGCAAAGAGTTGGACTCGACTGTGCGACTGAACAACAACAATCATACGTTGTATCAAGCTGCTAGTGTCACACTAACTGCATCTTAAGACTGGCTTAAAATTGCATGTTCCCCATAGTCCTTACAATCAAAAACACTGTAAAAATTATAAATCTTTGTTTTTATTTTCTTCTTTATTTCTATTCTCAGCATTGTCTATGCAGCCTCTGGGGCTGTGCATGTATCTGGGTAAAAGGTAAAGGTAAAGGTTCCCTTGCTCGAAAGCCAGTTGAATCCAACTCTAGGGTTGCGGTGCTCATCTCCGTTTCCAAGCCGAAGAGCCAGCGCTGTCTGAAGACGTTTCCGTGGTCATATGGCCGGCATGACTAAACACCAGGGCGCACGGAACGCTGTTACCTTCCCACTGAAGTGGTACCTATTTATCTACTTGCAATTTCTTGCTTTCGAACTGCTAGGTTGGCAGGAGTTTACTTGGGAGTAAGCCCCTATTGAAATTACTAGGACTTACTTCCAAATACATTATACACGGATTGTTGGAGACATCCTCCATCTCTCCACTTTAACATACACAATCTTTCCTCATGTTGGATTTCACACACTATCTTAAACTCCCTGCATGTCATGTTGAAAGACTTTTCCTTAAAAGCAAGTCCCACTGAAATCAATGGGATTTCTGAATAGACATGGTTAGGAATGGGTCCTATGTTTGTCATGAAGGTTCATCTTTAAGCTAAACACAAAATCTATGCTATAAATGTCTGGATCATCCCCATGCATACTTGCAGCTGTAATGTTTTGAAATGGTTCCGTATTTCTCTGGTTGTCCGTGGTCAAAAGCCACCCACAATACTAATAAAAGCACACACCAGTAATACGAAAGCAGCGATGACTTCTTCCTGAATATTTATTTATTTATTTGATTTTTACCCCCCCCTACCCCGCCGAGGCAGGCTCAGGGTGGCTTACAAAGAAACAACAGATAAAACAACAATATAAAATACACAATAAAGTCATTAAAGTTATGATTCAATATGATTCAAAAGAGTCCATAGTCAAGGAGAAGAGTGCAGAAAAAAATTCTGGTAGGGTCTATATTCAAAGAACAACACAATATGAGAGATGCGTGCTATTATACAACAGTTGATTCAGTCTGGGAGCAAAAAGGTACTCTAGTGAACCCTACACAGAAACACTGATCCAATAGTGTTCCACTGACTCTCTTAATTCCCCAAGCAACAGTGTTCATATATTTATGCATTTTTTAGATATTTAAACCCCACTTTCCTCCCCTAATGGGAACCCAACGTGGCTTACAACATTATTTTCTCCTCCTCTGTTTTATGGCCATACTCACAGCCAGGGGTCATTTTGTAGAAAAAGAGGTGCAGGAGCTCATTAGCATAATGCATTAGCATAACTTATTTGCATATGCCACACCTCTGATATCACCAGAAGTGTGTCAGAAGGCAACACCCACCACTCAGGCTCCACTGGACTGTTTTGGATTGCTAGCTATTGGGGGGGGGGGACGTGCAGATCTGTCCTCGCAGAGGAGGGAGAGCTTGTACCCAGGGGTCATTTCCTACAGGAGTACACAGGAGCAGAGCTCCGGCAGTAAATTGCCCAGGGGCTGGGCACATGCAACAAGCCCCACCCCCTGCTCCCAGCAGCCCTCAGTCAGAGTAAAAGCAGCCAGTCCAGTGGCACCTTTAAGACCAAGTTTTATTCAGGTACAAGCTCTCCCTCCTCTCTGAGGGCAGATCTGCACATTTCCCCCCCCCCAATAGCTAGCAATCCAAGACAGTCCAGTGGAGCCTGAGTGGCGGGGGGTGGCTTCTGACACATTTCCAGTGATGTCAGGGGGGGGGGCCTATGACTTGGTCTTAAAGGTGCCACTGGACTGTTTTGGGGGGGGGGGGGGGCTCTGCAACTTACCTGGCTGCTTCTTGCTCTGACTGAGGGCTGCTGGGAGCAGGGGGTGGGGCTTGTTGCATGTGCCCGCCCCCTGTGCTCTTTACTGCCGGAGCTCCGCTCCTGTGGGCTCCTGCAGGAAATGACCCCTGCTCACAGCCCTGTTGAGGTAGGTTAGGCTGAGTGAGAAGGACCAGCCCAAGGTCACCCAGCAAACTTCCATGGCAGAGTCAGATTTTGAACCATGCTCTCCCAGATACTGGTCTGACATTCTAACCATGAACCTAAGCAGACTTAGGCCTAAGTCCACTGAAGGGACTCTAAGCAGGAGGGAAGTCTGTTTAGGATTGTACTGCGAGCCACCAAGCTGGGTGACCACCTCTGCTTTGGACATCCTTCCAAACAAACAGAAAGGTGTGCATGTATATGCATACACGTGGGTTATCTGTTTCCACTGAGCTGCCCAGCCCTTCTTTTCTGAGTGTGTGGGAGTTGCTGCACCCTGTGGTGGCCAGAAGATGAATTTTACAAAACCAGTGAAGACACACAGAGCCAGGCCTCCATCCAGCAAGCCCTGTTGCCAAAGGCCAACCTTCTGACAAAATGCCAGGCTGGGTCTCTCATTGGAGAGTATGTGCTGATGGCAGTGGTAATTCTGGAATCGTCTTCTTGTCAGCACACCTTATGGGGCAAATCCCACAAAGAATGTGATGGCTAAGGCAGGAATGTTTTGGCTGCTCTGCTTGGTCTGCACTAAACTGAGATTTACAGACTTCCAACTATAGGTCTCTGTGCAACGGTCTTGAAACTGAGATGACAGTGTGTTGCGTGTTGACAAAACTCTACGAATCCACTTGGATTTCCTTTTCATGGCTTAGCAGTTATTAAGTATGGAAAGAAAGACTCTTGAGGAATTCAAAGGTATTAACTAGAAAGCTCTGTTATCAGCACACAGAACCCCTCACAGATTGGCTCACAGGAAGGCTAAACCTGCCTCAGACAAAATTAATTATAACCACACTTACACACAAGACGTGTTGATACTATGTACCTTGTCACCTCCCAGTGTCCCCAAAGCACCTCTTGCCCAAGGGAGGACAACAACTCACATAAACTCCCAGCTCCTTTGTTATTAATTTATACAACACACTTGTCTAACTAGCTGTGTTCACAGAGTGGTGTGATGAGCCAAGACTGCCCTAAGTGAGGTTTAAGGTGCACTGAGCAGACTTCAGATGAAGACTATACATTGACATGTCTGGAAAAGAAAAGCTAGAAGAATGTGACCAAGACAGAGGGAAGAATGGGTAGCCTATAGAAAAAGCAAATAGTCAGCCCCCCCCCTCCTTTCCCATAACATTAAAACTTGGAGGAGGAGGAGGAGGAAGAGGAAGAAGAAGAAGAGTTGGATTTATACCCTGCCCTGAGTCTCAGAG